ATTATTATTATCTGATTGGAGATAAGAAACGCTTATTAGACCGTTAAAGTTGCTATTAATATTATACAGCATCCAGTTGCAAATGGAAGAAACTATGCGCATTGTAGGAAGGAATTACTGTATAATGCTATTGTGTTTTGCGGGTAATGAGTGGCCAAATTTCGTCGCGAGATTATTAAAACAACCATTCGACCACAAACGGAAGAAAGAAAATTGAGAAGTTATAATTGCATTATGTGTTAGATGTACTAGAAAAGGAATTTTATGTGTGTTAGATGTACGAACATAAATGTGCGATGTAACACAATAGCTCTTATCTAAAAACTGTTACTCGAAAAACTTTTCATTTACGTTGGTTCCAGATATTCAAAAACCCAGCAATTGACAACTTGGTCGCAATTAATAATAAAAGGATTCCTAACTCGGAAATTACCGAAATAAAGTCAACTCAAATTGACAACGTCTACTACGCAGTGAATAGTGAGATAACGATAATGCTTGCGTCCCTCTGTATGCTATGTATATATGTTAAAACTAGCTTTAGCAGTTTATCTGTCGTTAGACAATAAAGTTCTAAATTTAAAAAAAAAAAAACAATGTCAGTGAGTTACCTTTTACGACCTTTTGATTGACACAAGGAATCCTGATCCTGCAAAAATCCTTTATTACTGGCCGTTTATCATTTTCATATCTTGCACCTCTTTGGCTGTGGTAATTATTTCTCATTTCTTACTTTTGAGTACGGCTGTTGTTTTTTATCGTCTCGGTGTTGTCTAACAGGGCCTTCTTTTTTATATAAAGCCTCACATCTTAAAAATCGACTAAAAATCAATCAAAGACATTATCATTGGTATGTTTTATTAAACTAACAGCGTAAGATTGTGTAGTTTATTTTTATATTTATATACTATACTGCCCCATAATAATCGTACAACTCTCCAAATGGCTTCTTATCTCCCATTTTTGATCATTCCCAATTGTGATAAAAAAGTCTTTGAAGAAACTGCAATGGCAAATCCTGGCGCATTGCAACATCAACTTGGTTGGACACTTTGGTGGTTCACAGGTATGTTATAAAAGCATCATGTTTATGTTTCCCTTTTAATATCGCTAATTATGTCTCTTTTACCAATTGTAGGGCGTTATTTATTGTAAGATGACTTGTATATTTTGCAATATTATTTTTAACTTTTAATTTATTCTTGCAGATGGGACGACCTATCAAACGATGAGAGGCAACAAGCGTTTCCGCCGGTTGCACCAAACTTTGTTGTGGAATTACGTTCAGTGAGCGATTCTCAAGCTTGTCATAGGAAATTGTTGCGTTGGATTGGCGAGGGAGTTGAGGAAAGTAGTCTATTGACGACTGCTATTTTATTGCTATTGCTAATTTCTGTTATTAATTACATATTAATTGATCCAATCGCAAATCCACCCACGGTGAGGATCTATAGCTATGATATCGATACGAGCAGTATCGTCTGGCAAGAGTTGGTTAATCCTCGAACGGTCACTTCAAACGTTCTTAATGGATTTGTAATGGATATGCACGATATCCTTTGTTGAAAAGTTTAAACTAAACGATTTAAAAAGGATCTATATGAGCACTTTTCCGAACAGACGTAGTTGATAGTTCGAAATCAGTATACCCTCGAATAAACTTTACGATAAATCGTAGATTTCATTGGCTATGAATATCTGAGACAAGATTATCTCTTTTCCTTCAGCTGAAATGTTCAGTCCCCTGTTGTGAAGTCAAGAGAGTATCCAATAATAATAAGGAATAGACTTTGTTTCATTATAACGTGTTAATTATGTTTTTTCTCTGTAATGTCCATAATTCAAACACGTATGCCCGACTCGCATTCTATGGTTGCAAAAAAAAAAAAATTTCTGAAGTCGATTCCTCGGTCATGAAAAATTAAGTTGAGGTTCACCTATTACTATATTCTTTAAACCGCTTTTTGTAAATTTAATCAAACTTAATTTATATCAACACACTGCGAGTGTTATTTACAATACAATATGTATAATTCACTCACAAATTTACTACGTTTTTAATTTAAGCATAGATAGGATGTCTGGACGCTCTTGGAAAAATCTACTTTTGGTGTCAGACATTAGATCATATGATAAGCGTCTCACAGTTCAGTTTAAATTTACTGTCATGGTCTATCTCTGGCGACATTCTAGAGTTGAAATAATCTGCTAAATTCGAGAATATATTCGAGATATGCATCGCGTTTAGTTTTTGTATATATGCGTAAACTTTTCTTCAATTAAAAATATTATTTATTATATAAAATGTTAGCGGAATATACATGCGATTATTTCCATAATTCTGGGAAAGCCTGTGGTAGAGCTTGTACTCAGCCTGAAGGCTGTAGGCATTACTATAAGTGTAAAAAACGCATTCCTTGTTCTGATTGTGGCAAACCTACTGGATCCGCTTGTGGGCGATGTAATTTGCGTAAACGAGGATTTTATATGATTAGATATGTTAAAAAATTACGCGAAAAAACTAGTTCACAATTCATAAATGCAACAAATCTAAGAGAGAGAAAATGTGCATTTATTATGGATTAAAAAAGTGTAAATAATCTTTTGTAAGTGTGAACAATCTATTTTGATAAGTGTAAACGCGTTCTGATGTTTATATTACAAGTCACAAATGCATAGCAAGTAAATTAAAATTAATTATGAGTTACAAAACCGGCTCAATGCACTAATTGACTTTAAGAGAGTGTAACTCTTGAAGTACTGGCCTTTTCAAATAAAACAAAAATGTATTAAAATCCAGAAATCAAGACTATATTCATTTATATTGGTTGGATATTTGTTGAGTGATAGGCCTGTACAATTCAATTCTTTCAAACATTGAGCAGTTTTGTGAGTCACACTGTATATTTAGTTAGCCAAAACCGTCCCTTGCATAAACTCAAATAAAAACATGTTGATAATATTATTTAAATTGGCAAATGTCGAATCAGAAAAACGGTGCACTTTGTTGGTTTGAGGCATCCTTACTACGTTTACTAGATAAAAATAATAGTACTATAAATATACTCAACAAAGTATATTCCCAACTAAAGGTGCATAGAAATGGCATCTTTATTAAGAATGCAGCTCTTGCATGACTTGAAAGTCTCTGTATCTGTTTTTGAATAAAATAATTAAATTTAACCAAGAATACAAAATAAAAAACGAATTCTAGCCAATGGAATTATGATCAAAATACTGAAATAGACAAAGTTGCACCAGATTTGCACAACTAATAGCAATCGTTCTAAGATTACTTTATCAAAATACTTCCGCTAATGACAATGGCACGACTGATAATAATGTTTCCACTTGGAAGCATTACGGTTATTATTGAAAAATTATTTCTAAATATTTTTAGCATAAAGCATTTAAATAAAAAATTTGTTTGTTGTTTTTGTTTTTTCCCCCCAGAAGTGTGACAACAATTTTCCAACTTAACGCGAATACGCCACAAGGGCTGCGCCATATAATAAACTGTCAATATAAATAAATTGTGGTACGTGTCTCGACTGATGAAATGACTGGCAACAAACAATACTATATGTCATTTATCGTAATTATGTTACTTACACAGTAAATTAGACTCCGGTTTCCCCGATGTAATTCAAAGCTTGACATTAATAGCTCGGTTAATATTTGCCGTGTTGCTTCTTTGTTGTCACAATTTTATTATCGGTAAATTAGAAATCCGAAAGCGGACATCTTGCATACGTTTAATCGCATCCTTGCAGCGAAACGCCAAATAGCAAATTGGTAATAGATGACTATGAAGAAAGATACATCTCAATATCAAACTTATTAAATATGGTTTGACATAATATTAAGGGCGTAGAGTATAGTACAAGTTATTTGTTGATACGCATTTATCATTGGATTATTCAAAGTATTTATTCTACGTATATAGGTTTGGTTCATCGATCACTTGAATTTTTGGTTTCATCGGCAAGGGAAAATTAATCAAGCTCGTATCAGCTTATTTAATGGGCTCTCTTCTGTCTCAAACGAAAAAGATATCTTTCCTTCTTACAATCACAATTGAAGCGCATTGTGCATTCTCAACCGACCACCATTTTTAAAACAATTGTTTACTGGTTCTCACAGACCGCAGTAAACGTTCCGAACTTCGATGGACTGGGTATATACCAATTTTTATTATTTGTTTAATACAGAGCTCTTATCTGACATCTGTTATACCCGATATGAAAGAAGACTCGTCCTATAGGTTCCCAAGCACGCAGGTCGCTGCAAAGTTCGATGGAAGTTTCTACTGCGAAGGGTTGTTGTCCTTTTCAATTTTCCCAGAAGAAAGTAATCACCGAATTTACAGAAAAGGTTTAGATTAGATTTAAAGATAGCAAACGATTCCATCGCTCAAGAGACGTTTTTCTTATCGTTTATTAGTCATATTTTTAACGAAATGCCAACTCACACGAATATTTGCTCAGAACTTGAATTGAATGAATCAAGAAGGGAAGGGGAAAAAAAAAGTCCCAGTCCTGGTTTTTGCTTCTCGGAGTTTATTATCCAAATATATTAATGTGTTCCATTGCGCAGCATACGAGACAGCAGGCCGGAAATTGAAATCCGGTGCGTCATCATGATATAAAAAAGCCCAACAGCCATAATACTTGATTCCAAGGACGATATGAGGCAAAGACAAAGGTGGACACCGGAGGTATCATATTCTTTCTCAGCGTTTCTTGTTATGCAACCATTGCTGTTTTCAAAGACGTTTATTCGCAAATAGGAAGACGCTCGTCTTCTTAACCTGTACAATAGATATGGTGCCTGGACGGAAGTAGGACGCTGCCTTCGTAATAGAACTGCTAAACAATGTGCAGAAAGGTACGATTATTTCTATAATTTACACACAATAAAAAGTCCATTGTCTCATGATAATTTACTCTCTCGATATAACACCCGGGATATATATATTCTGTTACATTGTTGAACCAATAATGCCTATGACTATAGATGGCACAACACACTGCGGAACGGAAGTGAGTGGTTGAGTGGTCATATGAGCCTAGTAAATATAGGGATTTTATTAAAAAGATTTCTGTTTTCTTTTTCAGTTAATAACTCACCTCTTACAGAGATCGAACGTAGCGGGATTGACAGGCTACATAACATATATGGGCCAAAGTGGAGTCGTATTTCAGCCTACTTTCCTGGTCGTACTACCCGAATCATTAGAAATTATTGGCATTGCAATCAAAGACGCATTCGTCAGAAGATGTCCATCCGAAGGTTACTGAATTAGAAATGGATATCGACTTTTTTGAGTTCTTACCTTCAAATGCCATTGTTAGTTTGCATTGATTGGATTATTTACGCAAATTGTTTTATTTTTAGATCACCTCTTGGTATGTCTCTGATGTAGATGAGTCGTTTTCATCAACATCGGCATCTCATATTAATGTGAATACATATATTAATTACTTTATTTTGTTACTATTAATAATTATATGGCTACTTGTTATTATTATATTAAATTAACAGATATTTGTCTTATACTGTACTTGAATATCTAAGGCTGTGTGCAGAACATGATCTAACCGAGGTAACAAAAATTGCCTCAACAAATAATACTAGGGAAATGTATTCTTTCTTGCCTGAAGCTGGTTTCTACCCGTAGCGTTAATGCTAAGCATTGCTACACAAGGTCCATGTCTTTTACCAACAGTTTGGATATATGAACATGGGGATTACGAAACACTGTGTATAACCTGATAATAACAACCTAACCTAACTGAGCAACTGAGTAGCATAAGATATCCTGCGCAAAGCAAACTTGAAGCCATCGGTTAATAATGAATTAATCCACTTTTAATTTCCGGATTGGCCTGCAATTCTAGTTGCGCATTGATTGACGCACGGCCATCTAGAGAATACGTCCCATATAACACAAACTCTTTCAGTGTCTGGGATATGACAGGAACAAGGTTGCAAAAAAGCAAAGCTCTATAAGTGGCTAGTCTTTCTGCTATACAAGTCCTTAAAATTGTCAAGTCATGCAATCAGGTAACTTTCTTGTTATTTGCAGATCATTGCGCTATTTGAATTGCAAACTCCCTGAAGGGTTGCATTAGATTAATACATATATAGCTTAGCGTTATGATCTCAATCTGCAAGGTGCAAAAAGACGGGGAACGGTTAATATTAAGCCAAATACAGCAATATACCATCATATGATTTACCGATCATATCAATTTCGTCCCTGCCATCAGTAAAACATACTCTTTTTGACTTTAAACTCTATCAGCTCAGATGAGATACTGTTTAGGATTTCATAGTAATGGTAATAGTAATAGACTCGTCTGGTTTTTCGGAGTTGAAACATATCGAGTTAGCCATGAATGTAAATCCGAGGTTCAGCATCGTTCGCAAATGTCCTCTTTTGATGCCGAAATGAAGCATGCGGTACAAGTTTGCTACATGCTGTTACATGCTGTCGACTTGTTGGGAATCTTTTTGCCGTAGTCTCAAGTTACTTTGCAGTTTATGCATTAGTATGCGTTGTTTTAGAGTGCTGATTTTACCGCTGGGCTTTGCAAGCAGCGGACATACATTTTCAGGGAATGGGAGGCGAGTAGAGTTTTCTTCAAGATTATGCCATCCTTGCATCCAACAGTTTGAAGTGGGACGTTGCTCGTTTGTTTCTGGCATAATGACGTCAGTCTCTCCAGATGGTATTATAAATAACCTCTGGCCGGACCCATTAAGCAGTTGATCTCTATACTATTTCTGCTTAGTTTGTATCGATTGCTATAGTGTGGGGGAGGGAAGCCCCTTTTAGCTAGCAATAAACCTTGTGCATATGGTACTTGGAAGGTCCTGTATTGGAAAAAGACTAGCCTGGGTATTGGCATTTCTAGAGTGAGCAAAATGAAATTTGGGGTCTCATTTAGTGTCTCTGAAACCCACATACCCTAAATTCTATCCAAATTCAAAAAAAGCCTAGAAAATTGCCCTCCCAAAAAGAAATTTATTAAAATAGAGAAAATTTTCATTTCGGTTTAATCTGTCACAGTTACGTACGTAACAAGAAAAGAGTGAGTTTACAATCACCACTCCACGATGGGTTCCCAAGACGAAATCACCCACATATCCGTATATGCCAAACAAAGTCAAAAAAGCGAAACGAGAATCTTTATAAATTATCGAATGTTTGTATGATTGTATTATGTTTATTTACTTTTTGATGTGACATACTTTGGCTTTTGGTTTGGCATGTTATGAATAAACTACAGAAAAAACTCGCATATATAACAAATGACATTTGCCAAGGCATTGTCGAAACTTGGCAAAGCTCTTCATATCATCCCTTATTCTACTTATAAACAATAATTTGACCTATTCATGAATTTGCCCTCACCAGAGTAATAAGTACAGTTATATCGTCTATTTTCCTGTAAATGGAAAAAGAGGGAGATTAGGATTTTACCCAGAAAAGAGATTCCCCAATCATTAAAGAACAAGAAATATTATCATAGCTTACCCTCCTAACCGAGACTCGCCCATATTCATCGCATTCTTACTGAATGGACTAATTCGCTTGCGATCCTCAGAATATTTCCTAGCTGTATCTGTGAGTCTTCTTGACAAGCCTCTCACACGTTTTGTAAGCTCCTCAACGCTTACATTCCGAGTGCCTTTGTTACCGCTTAAAACTTTATCGAGCTCTTCGTTCACGATAGAAACCGCTTCTTCCGGAAACACATTATCATAAAACCCATCTGTTGCTAATAATATTACATCACCATCTTGTAACTGATGCGTTGACTGATCTGCATCACTGGGTTTATCTCTGATATATAATTTTTGATTGGGATAATGTTCGGGTACTAATGTAAGTTGATAAGGACAATTGAAGAAATGTTGTTGTGAAGGAGACTCGTAAAGAAGGCGGCCACTGCGGATTAAAAGAAATGCTGAATCGCCCAAGGTAGCAGCATTAAGTATTCCTGAATCGTTGGAAAGCGAGAGAATACATGCTGTTGAACTCCCTGTATGTATGTATGTGTGGCGGAGACCGATACGTGAATAAATCGTTTTGACAGAGAGATACTGCGTGAAAACAGATGAACAAAGACTTGCAACTAACCAGCTTCAACCTTTCCGCTCTTTGTCATATTCTCAAACGCTCTGCTTAATATGCGTTTGGCATCTACGATATCGTCATAGCGTCTAACGCTAGATTTATAACGGTTCCGTTCTGCAGTACCGAGTTCTTTTGCGACATTGGCCGCATTGTCCATCAAATCCCAAGAAAACGCTGCCGAATCCACCCCCATCTAGTAATTAAAAGGACAAGGTTTCAGATTATTTACATCGCCGAAAAGCGAATACGAAAGCTTCAATCTGTTATTACCTGTGACCATCCACCCACTCCATCAGCCACCCCTAAAGCGACACCACAATTAGTAAGAACATAGAAAAAAGCGTCTTCTCCAGCATCGACCTTTCCGGTTCTCATTTGTTCTCTCCACCATGGATTCCCGGTTACATGATTTATTACGTTTTGACGTTTTCTCTTTGGTGACCAAGCGGCACCTATTAAATATGTGAAGCCTTTTGTAGTGGTGAGGGCTGGAGTTATTAGCGGAGGTGAGGAGTAAAAACTGCGAATGAGGTGTTGTGACTGGATAGCTAATCGGAGAGATTGTGAAGCGCTGGCGAGTACGCGGGAGGATAAAACAGGGAATGCACCAGGGCGGTAAAAGGGCGATATTGAGGAAGACATTATATTTAAGGTTATTCGAACTACTTTTTTTTTTTTAAAAAAAAAAAAAAGTGGTTCTTATTGAATGTAAAGGAAAAACTTTTCCAATGGGTCGCCCGGGTTGGGGTTATAGAACGAGGAGAGGCGTCTAACGGAAAGTTTTTAACCTTGAGAGTGTGTGTTTGCGAGTTGTGATGAGGAAGTTCTAGCAGCGCATGATATAACGATATTTAGTCTAATTAGGTGTAAAACGTCCCCTGTGATTGACTAGGTGTCTTTGATGGTACAAGCGATTAAAGTCGGGATGTGTCATGTATTTTAGTGGAGGCTGTGTTACGTAAATTTCCGTCATTTCGGAACAGTCTACCAATAGGAATTCTGATGTGCAAGCAAAATTGCGAGATGTTCCGCGCGCCATTCCTGAATTGTTTATATCGGGCAATGTTGCAGCATGACCAACTCGACGCCACACAAAAAAATTTCTTTTTATAAACCATGACTTTCCATCTCTCATCTCGCATTGCAGAAAAGCTCGAGATATCTTCTTTCTATTAGAATCGACCAGATAATCGAGAATTTAATAGAGGGCAATCTTTATATTTCGATTACGATATGAAATCTAGGCTTTTTTCAACGTCCATAGAACCCAACATGTGACGTCTGTATTCTGTTTAACTGGAAATAAAACCTGTTTTCTGTCCGTAATCTAGATAATAACAAAGATCGTTTCCATGTGAAGTTGATTATTTTTAGCTTATTGTCATACAATGTTTCCCTCAGTGACTTGCAACAGATTCGAAGCAGGAAATGGTAAAAAGAGGCACCAATCACTATTTAGAGGAAACAACTTGCTAACATCAGTTAGTATTAAAGGGGGTCAGCGATAATCTACCTCGTAAGAAGTTAGTTCGGCGACCGATTATTGAATAAATGTGTCTCCTAATAGTAAGACAATGGGCTGAATGGGCTCTTGATGTTTATCAATTACAATTGTACTGTACTGGCTCCCACAGCATAAGATATCGAGATGGCGAAACGTAAAGGTTTAATTTCGGAAATATTCTTCTCATGCATATTATTTATAACTTAGTATAACCATCCAACTCCGACGGCTCCAGATTGATCAACCACTGTAGTATACATAAAAAATATTCACACAGATAAAAGTAAATAATTGTCATCGAAATTCATGATAGGCGTGCCATCGGGACACTGGTCTATTATTTGTTCTCACAAAAACGCAACCAATTTGTTTGCGTATCAGTGTTGCTTCATCTCTCGAATGCAGATGAGATGGAATGTTTACCTGTTGACTGGTGTCTGTCAGTGTTACAATAATCTACCAATTGTTTTTGTTAGTCAAACAGACATTCTATGTATTCTTTCCAGTAAATCTTTTGCGTCACCTACTGTTCTTGCATCATAGCGATAGTGTTACGGTCTGTAATTATGGTGTTCAATGACGTAGGCAGTTTCTTGTCTCGTCATACCCCAATAGTAATAGGCTAAAACGAAAATCTCCTAATTCTAAGCCTACTGTGTGAGGAAGTTGTAAGTATTCTATTCTGACTCACTCGGCGATGGCTGAGTATAGATCGAGCGACTATTATGCGCAAGTGTCTGATTGCGGTTATTGAAACCCGTTTGTATTTGCATTTCACGATTAACAGCTCGTAAATATTTGCTTCCTCCAGAATTTGAGTTTGTCCTTTCTGAATATCTATTATTAGTATGTCTTCGAACCACATATAATTCATCTGCTGTTTACACTTTAATACTTGTTCACATGCAAGTAGACTTTTTCAATAATAAGAGCAACATGCTCCAGTAAACATTTAAATTCAGAAAGACAAATTATGTATCATAATCAACAAGTATGTTATGACTGTCCAATCACAATCGCAATCTATTCTATATTCAGTGGATCCATTATTCTTCGTGTATGGACAATCATATAGATGTATCGTTGGCAATAAGCTTAGCTTATTATTTCCTTCAAGTCTTTTTATTTGGCTTTCTGCACACAAGGGATGGCCTGCTTAATGAATAACAGTTAGGTTGCCGCATAATATCAGATATACGTATCCATACCGTCAGCCAATTTCACATAGCCGTCGTTTTCAATAAAACCACACCGCGATATAACCTTGTTCCGTTGTTCAACAAATTAGGAAACTGCTCATAAAAGTAGCACAAGGCAAGCTTAAAATCAACATACTGTACATACTTCCATTTCTATGTCTCCTGCAGAAATGAATGGTCTGCGGATTTCTTCAAAGCTCCTTGTTCCGGGAACAAAAGAGCGGTGAGCCAATGAATTGAAAACAAGCACTAGAGGGATGTGATTAAGGATTAGAGTGGAAGATGTGATCATAATTCATTTTTGGTGGATGGCTTATGGATTCGACAGAGAAGCATAACTCGATAAAAACAATGCAGTCACTCGCCATCCGAAACGAAAGCCATTTTTTACCATGGCCACACTTGGACTCCGGTCGATAACTCTCTCAGCATCCTTTCGTCCGTCTCCACTCTGGACACATTTATCTTTCATACAATTCGTTCCATCCTTTCTTCTGTACCTCGTTCCATTTCTCTCCGCATGTTTCCCAATATCAAATTTCTTACACCTCTACACTCTCCCATCTTCATCACCCATAATAACGCCTGCGGTAAACTATTTCAATCGCGAAAAAGAAAGAACATTAGGGTTAAAGTCTCTAGCTGAAGATTGGAAACAGTTATGGAGGCAACGGTGTGTGATCTTGTTGGCTGTCAGCATTAAAAGGAGAGAAGGAACCGAAACGGGCTATAAAAGTCGAGTGAATAAGGGTACTCAAGGTCTGAAAAATGAAGGAAAAAATCACGCATTTGAAGCGAATGAGCATCATCGAGAGCAAGTGTATAAAAATCAGAACGTAATGGAAGAGCTCGAACATAGTACACGAGAAAACGAAATACTTGAAGATGAAATGCCCGAATATGAAGACGACTATAAAGATGACGAGAGCGATATTATCCATGACGATTGCGAGACTCCCAATAATTTCGTTCAAGAACATAACCAACGCGACGAATACTTTAATCAAGGTCATGTCAGCAACAGCCAATCCGTTGCGAACGAATTCATTCTTAACGAGAGGAGGGTATGGGGTGTTTTTTTTTTTTCCGTGCTTGCTTTAAGTTTTTTGGTCTGCTCTCATTTCGGCCTGAACATCCATATAATTTCTCGCGTCTTTCATTTCCACAGAAGCAACAGTTCCATCTTCTACGAGAAATAGAGAAAGAAATAAATGAAGCTCGTTTGGTCGCAGATCGGGTTAGCAGATTAGCTCTACGGCCGCTATCCTCTCTTGGCCGAGAGAGTATCAGTAACGACGACTAATAATGGCGAATGGAAGGTATGATGACATGTAAAAAAGGTTTGTTGTTCCCCCGGGGGGTCTCAATGAACACGTGTAAAAGTATTATATTATGTAATCGTTTCTTGGGTGGTCACTCTTCAAAATATTGATAAACACAAGTCGTTGTCAATAGAGATGCTCAAAGTCAATCCCTTGCTTTTTTATGTCTTCTTTTTTAGTACTGTAATAAATACAATCAACTAATAAAAAAGAGTCTTCACAGCTTATATTCACAGCTTATATCACTCCTCCAACTTTTTGACTTCGTCCGAATGCGTTCTTATTATCTGCAATGTCTCTTCATCAGCATCGTACACCGAATACCAGCCGGCAGCTAAAAACACAGAAATTGTCAATTCTAGCCCATACACATTCTGGCACAGCATAATTTTTCTCACTCGTATGTTTTCTCCTCTCCTTATCTATATACCTCCCACCCTCTCCCCCCATGATTCCAAACTTACGCTCGTGCGGTGGATCACCCAACCATTGAGGCGGCGGATCAACCGGTCTCGCAATCCCAGAATACGCCCAAAATGCCTGTCCACTGAAAGAGCGCGACTTCTCGAGTGACAAAACTTTGTTCATTAGTGAGCTATAGTATTTATTACGATTTATTGTCGGTGCTGATGGGGAGTATTTGGACACAGGGAGCCAACCGTCTCTTGCAAGGCCTGGAGGATAGGATCAAAGATAGGAGGAATAGTCAATAAGAATACCGCGACATGGAGAATCGTTTGAGCAATTTTCTTACCATATTCTGCAAGATATACGGGCTTTCCTAACTCTTCCGTAGACCATTTGCTAACGTTATCAATAAAGTTCAACATGAAATTTTCTGCTCGCGTGTAATTCTCCGTTGATGGATCATTTGAATCGTAATATCCCCAATTTTCTACCCAAACGTGAGCACTTGCGTAATCTATGAAAGGGGTAAGATTTAGGAATCAGTTGTTCATTCTGCGTTAGTTTTCGGGGGGTTCTCTGTATAGCCTGGTAGTACTCCAATATTCTTGAACTCCCAATACCATTCTTTATAATATCCTTGCCTACCCCCTCCTCCTCTCCTTTAGTTATGATCGCAACTTTTTCTATCCATACGCCTTAGCATATTATTTCGTACCAATATCGCTGCACTCGTGCATTTCCAGAAACCAATCCTTCCCATTCTTCCCTTCGGCCCCTGTCGTCACCAAGTGATTTGCATCCAGATCCTTGATTACCCTTGCACTTTCTTCGATCCACGTCCTGACGATCTTTCTCCCATTATCTCCCAGAACTATTTGTGGTTCGTTTGCCAACTCCCATGCGAATATTACAGGATCTTCCTTGTACAATTTCCCGTTAAAGGTGTTTCTGCGTGTGAGGACCGTCCTAACGTGGTGCTGGTAAAGTGACTGGCAGGCAGGATAGATGGAAGGATCGGAATAGAAGCGAGACGCGAAGAGCTCAAAGGTTGTGAAATCAGAAGAAGTCGGGTATGGAATGGGGGGATGTGTGGGATCGCACCAAGATACGTATTGTGCAAAGCCGCCAGACCATTGCCAGAAGTTTGAGAGAGTCTTGAGTTTGAGTAAGTGTAGATGAAAAAGTTAGGGGGGTAAATATAGGAGAACGGGAAGTGAACGAGAAGAGAGATAATTATCTTGCCGAATGAAACATCATAATGCATTGGTTAAAATATAGAAAGTGACAGTATACAAACCATCGTAGCGGTCATATCGAACTTGCTCAATTGATCCAAGAACCAGTCTAAACCTGAATACACAAGCACATAATACTATTCCATTGTTTCTATCACTTTCAAGGAATAATCATCATAAAAAAATCCGCCTTTCCTTTTACCTTCAAATACGCTCTCATCATACACTTTTGGTTCCTTCATCAAAGCCGGCTTCATTCTAAACGGTTCTTCATTAGGCCCTTCGCTTCCGGCCATGATTCTCACATTATTGATTCCCATTTGTTTCAATTTCTCCAAATCTTGAAGTACTCTTGTTCTATTTCCCGTCGACATGGATAGATTCATTGCTTGCCAATAGTTGGCGCCGACGAGAAAGTATGGTTTATCTTTCCATGTGAAATGTGTTGACGAAACCCTGATAAATGATGGAGAAGACATTTTGAGCTTAAAGGATAGTAATTTCCCAAACGTCGTCGATCACTTTGGGAATTTACTGTTTTACAGGAGATCGGATCGGATCGACATTCAAAGATACGTCGTGAAACCTTCTTATTCCAACGATGTCATTAGTTCCGGGGATTAAAATGTAGTGAAATCAATTAAACCTATCGTCTAATGTACATTTGTTAAATAAACTTGTTAGGTTGAGAATTCCTTAAAAGACGTTCTTTTACTAGTTGTTCTTCCAGAATAATTTCTATTCTAGTGCGTCGTTGTGCCGAACAAAAGTGTCTATTGCTTGGGAAATTGAAATAAGCCGGATAAATCGCTTACGGAAGTTAGAAAGAATAGTTAAATTCTGAACTATTAATATGTAACAAATATGTTCAGCGTCGCGTCACAACATTTGAATGGGCCTTGACGATATTTATCTGCACAAACTGTTTCGCATCAAAATCTTATTTGTAACGCATCCACTAACTGCTTTATTCCTAGTGCTTGCTCCTGCCCAGCCCAATAGTAGAACGCGGATATTTGAACTGTCATCTTATGAAAATATGTATTGGCTAAAAAATTAAATGTAACCGCGAAACATTGTTGTAGTGGAACACATTAGGTAAGGACATACGTCAGTATTAGAACGGAGCAAAGGCGAAATGAATATCATTCTAAAATAATGTGAAAGGATTTGTTGGATTGGCGTTAATAAATATAATCGGCAGGCATACTCTAAGAATACTCAAGATCTTGCTGTTTACCTTGAGGTGCTTCCATCCATCCTGTCTTATTGATTAGACCAGTTCGCACCCTACTTCCATTAAACACTTGATAGAATACAAAAAAGAATAAAGTTTTACTACTATTGTCAATAATCCGTTTAAATGTCTGCTTGATGATTAAATTCTTATACCCGACAGACATTTCCGCTAATAGCCGCCAGTGTAAAATCCACTTGTTAAACCAACACTTACCGTGTAATCGCTCGATTTCCTTTTCGATTTTCTTCGCGCTCCCATAAGCTAGCCCAAATTCTCTCAATTTTCCTATATGCACCTTCAAAAACGCATCTCCTGTCATTCTTGTCCTTTCAACAGTTTTCAAATCGTCCTCGTCTAATTTCAGACTCTCGTGGCGATTTCGAAGGTACATGAGCAGATCGCTCGCGTCCCAGTCTTCCATATCTTCAAGAGTAGGCGTGAGCTTGGAAATCGAGGGTGGAATCGGTTTTAAGAGTCTGCATTTTTTGCTTTTACGTGGCATTCGAAGAATTCTGACAAGCGAGAATGGCAAGAAGATCGAACAAAGAGTTGATAGAAAAATGGGACGGGAAGCGAGGAGGCTAAGAACGCCGATGGGGTGACAGCAATAAGAGTGTGGTTATAGGAGGCTTAGTACTGTAACAATGGATGTAAAAATAAAAGTTTGCAACGTTAGTACTGGTGTTTGATTACTGATACCACAATAATAATAGCTAGTTGTAACATTTGAGTCATTGCTAATCGTATGCTTTTTGTCATCATATCGTCTACATGATACAGCAAACTGTAATTTAGTAAATAGCAATATTGACATATCTATCCTTCGCCCACATTCCTACGTATTCACCAATTCTATACATGGATATCACTTACATTCTATAGTCTATATGTATGGATACCTATGAATCGGGATTATTACATTTATTAGAGGATTATTTCTGATCAAATAATAATATTCACGTTTACGTTTCCGTAAACTCAGTCATAAATCGCTTTCATTCGCTTTACGTTTCTACTTAATCTGGATAATTCAATCTTTACAATACACTCACCGAATCAAAAGATGTACTGGCCGACTTGATTGTTATTATTATTATGTATTAAGTATTAATTATGCCTGGTGATAGAACTTCACTTGATTTTTATGTTATGCTTGTGGGACATGGGGACAAACATCACTTGACCCGATGACGCAATCGAATTAATTTGTATAATATTCAATGAAATTCTCAATCAAAATGTATACAAATCAGCTCGACGCTAAACTATTGTGATATTTTCAACCAAGAAACTTTAGGAAGCCTCTAAGCCATTGAAGGCTGTTGTATAATTCCAAGCCACATGATTCAAATTTGGAAAGTGTGTTACCAACTGGCTTATTATACCTGATCATCACTCTTTGACTAATGCTCATCTCTGATATTTTATTACTTAATGTCATACCCAACAACATACTGTGGCAACACGCAATGTTCTTCGGATTCTCTTTGCTATATCACTGAAAATTCGCTTACTTGTTCATCTTCTCCAATATCGTCTTGGAGATTGAATTCGACGCTGTTTCCTCCCATCGAATACGTCGGACTCACACCACCAGGTGATTCTTCAGATGCAGCATGTGAAAACCTGCAGATAAAGAACGACACTATTAAATCACAAGTATCCGAATGGGCGTCACAGTTCTGGACACCGGGCAAACTTCCAATAGCGGGAACATTTTATAATCCACTTGAAATCGGATCATGCATAGACGATTTGAGTGGCAACCAGCCAAATCTTTACTGTAAAGCAGGGAAATGCAAGCCGAAATTGCAAATTTATGACCTATGTTTGTCATCTAATCATTGTCTCACTTATATCTGTGCCATATCTGAGGCTTCACAACAGACATGTCAACCGGATCCATTTGGAAAGCAAATACTTAAACAACTCACTGGCAACTTTAGCCGGCCGGCAAACGTTCATTATCTTGGCCCACCCCCCCAAACGCAACCAAGCGCAGGTCAAGTAATAGCAATAGCTAGCTGCGTGGTAATTTTGCTGACGTCGCTCCTAACAATAATGTATGCTAAAAAGATATGCAAAAAGCACGATGAAGCCACACAGGATGCTGACAATAGAGTAGGGTCGCGCATACGGCGGGGTGCCAGTCTTTTACTCAGTGGTTCAATATTAACTAGGCAGAATAGCTCGGCTACATTACCGCGATACACGGTTGAGGGTGATCCTTCAATGCTGGAACAGTTATTGAATTGGTTTATGCCACCCGGAGAATTGCCTCCTACGTATGAGAGTGTGGTTGAGAACGAGAATAGCAATATAGATGGCAGACAAGGAGGAAGAACCTACGACACGGCAGATCTGGAAGCAGATGCCGGTGAGGGGAGTAGAAGTAGCGGAGACGTTTCAGAAAGATCCGGCGAAAACGAGGGAGGAGAGGAGGCTTCAAGTGAACCCAACAATGGCATTGAAACTGACAACAATCGAGCTCAGTCTTCACGCGCTACTTCTTTGATTACTGATAATAATGAGGAGGATGAAGAAACATATAGAAGAGTATCGATGAGTAGTAGCCGTAACGCCGACGATGACAATGCTGACGAGACCACGGTACTGAATAGAGATACTGAAGAGTCATGATTATTTTATTACTGAATGATAGAGAGAAAAAATCCGAGATGAATGGGAAGCGCGACAAAAAGTTGATTCCTATTCATGTAATATTTATTAGTTTGACCCTGAAATTGGCATTTTATATTTGTTACCGATTTCTTTTGATATTACGATCGACAAGAAATCAGATTTGTATATGACATTGTAAAATACATTTGTTAATTTGACAGATTTGACATCTATTGGTTTTATTGTGACAATATATCATGCATACTAGCTGTGTAAGTTCTTGAAAGTGCCTGAAACCTGCATTACTCGACGCGCCAAGGAATTCTTAATTTCTATCGCGTCAACCGCCGCAATATTATCATAAAATTCTTCCAAATTAGTAATTATGCTGGAATGTTGTGTACGTAACTTATGACTATCTTCACCCTCTGGGTCATTGTCGTCCAAGGACTTCTTTCAATCCTGTCTGTGCCTCATTAATATGCCTCTCTAGGTACTTTTTCTTCTTGTCTAATACCTCAATCTCAGTTGCAGCCTTTTCTACACCTTTATCCATATCATTCACCAGCAATGGCAAGTCTGTGCGAAAGAATCTAATTTGATCGTGACGCCATTGCAAATGTGAAAAATATGATACCGATAGAAGCATTGTCATATGATATAATTGATTTTTACTCACGCTTTACCAACAGTTTTGTAAGTTATTACATTGGAATCAAGTGCAGCGAGTTCTTTCTTGGTTAATTCTGTCATACGTTTCTCTCTCTCTTTGCTTGCGATCTGAACTTTTAAATTTGACAGTTGACGGTTGCTCTCCACTAAACGGTTGTTTAGGTCAACAATGACCTATTAATTCGCTAGACAGATGTTATTACAATTGGTGTGTAAAATAAATTGTTGTAATATTTACGTGCCTGTCTTAATGCTTGGTCTGATGCCGACATGACTCTAGAATCCGTAGACAATACAAGGACAAGGTTGGCAAAACTTAATATTAAGCCAGATTCACGTGAGTGCGTCAAACCGTCATATTTGACCAGTAAACGGATCATCACACACACAACATTATTTATAATAACAATATTCTAAATTCTGCCTTTTAGTCAACATGGTTCGCTGGACAATGTATGGCGGTGTCAGTACACTTTTGACGATCTCGATCGTCGGAAATGCACTCAGACAGCGGAGCAACTTTTATTCGGCTTGTATTTACTTATCAAAGTCAAGTGCATGTTTGATGGTATGTCATACTCTCGAAGAAATGTAACCATTGCTTCATGTAGCAAGGTGTAGAGTGTGGAATTAGTATAATCTGTGCCGAGTCCTCTAGAGTGGCTGTCGATTCGAGTAATATGGTCAGAGATTCTTTACCAATTTCAAGGTTCTTACGCACGCTCTATTTTGCAGATTTTAATGAATATGGGATTATTCTTGACGCTCGTCTTTGGACAGATACTTTTTCGTATCTTTTTTGGACGGTTACGAGCCGTGGAGATTGAAGTTTGTTGCTGTTGAGTAGATCTTTTGTTCTTTTATTCTGCGAATCTTCATTCTCATGGCGTTCCCATCACTATTTTCCTACAGCATCTATATGAGAGAGCGTGGTACGCAGTTACGGAAACATGTCTTGCGATGACGATATTTCGAGACGAATTTGATACGAAATTTGTGGTGACATTTACAACACTATTATTCTTAAAGATATTCCACTGGCTCTGTCAGGATCGAATCGAGTTTGTGAGTGGGAGATATGGAATCGCGGGAATATTATTGTTGGCGGTTGGGAAACATAGGGTTATATATCCTCCGGCTAACTAAAATGATTTACGCATAGATGGGGCAATCACCTACTGTTTCCTTGCTATTTCATGTGAGAATGTTGGCATTGATGGAGATATTGTGTTCGGTGGACTCGCTACTTGTAATGCATGCTATTAATGTGACGCGGCAAAAAGGCGCAAATATGATGATAATGTTTGCTTTCGAGGTAAATAATAATTTTTAGCGGACAGTGTCATCTATACTTATGACTAATCTGTGATCTGCATATTTGACGCGTAGTATTCCATATTGGCTTCTACCATTATTGCTACGTTCCTCAAGTATCTATTGAATGTTATAGATATGAGACGTGAGGAGCCTTGGGAAAACAAGTCAATCTATGTATTCTATCTGGAGCTTGTGACGGGTATATTTTCAAGATTGTTTAGTCTTGTTTAAATTTGAAATCTTGTGACATTTGACTGATTCTATTCACCCATTCCTCGAATAGATTTCTTCAAACTGATAATATATCTCATATTCTTTGCCATAATACTTTATCATTATGGCCCCCCACTTCATATAATACGAGATGTCTATATTACTTTTCGTTCTTTCGTTCAAAAGTGCGGCGATTTGATAAGATATCGTAGAGCTACTAGAAATATGAACGAACGTTATCCAAATGCAACTAGTGCAGAATTGGAGCGACTGAGTGATCGTACATGTATCATATGCCGTGAGGACATGGTTGCTTTTAATGACAATTTGAACAACAACGACAACAACGACAACGATAACAACAACAACAACAACGATAACAACAACAACGAGAATAATAATATTGATAACGGAAATAATCAGCCAGCAAATGCAACTGGAAGAACGCAATCCAGAAATAGTGGAATGGGAGACACGCCCAAAAAGTTACCGTGCGGACACATATTTCATTTTCATTGTTTAAGAAGTTGGCTAGAAAGACAACAGAGCTGCCCAACATGGTAAATAATATCAAATCGACTTGTGCTAATGTATTGATCAAACAAATTACTCAACATTGCTATTAATCTTATCTTTTACTCATCTTCAGTCGAAGGCCTGTTCTCGAGAGTAGGTTTACACAGAAATTGAATGCGTAAATGTTTTTTTTTTTTTAATATCCCGATGCTGACACCAGTCTCAATTCAATCTCACCTAGATCAACCAACGCAGCAGCAGCAACAGCAGCAACAACAACAACAACAGCAACAGCAACAGCAACAACAGCAGCAACAACAAGGACGCGCGGGGCGTAACGCACCCCCAATACAACAGCCGCGACCACAAGCAGCGGGCTTTCCATTTGGGAATGGTGGTATAGCTGCCAATCCTATTCAAGGCTTGCCACCTATGATGATTCCCCCGGCGATGCAAGGGGGGTGGCCAGCTATACCTGTGCCATTAATGAATGGATATGGTGTACAAGGAGCACCAGCAGCCGGAGTAGGGGGAGACGGAGGTAATATACAACCTCGCAACTCTCAGAATGAGGTGGGTTTCCTTTATGCAACTGGACATAACATTTTAATGAGGAAATCGCTAACCAAATGATTGTAATATATGTTAATTTTATAGTCATCCACTACTCAAACCCAGTCGAATTCGCAATCGTCCACAGGTCAAACGCAATCTTCGTTTAATTCATCAACTCTACCACGTCAGTCAATACAGCCTACGATATCTACATCTTCAGCTACAACACTTCCATTCATCCAACCTCTCACAGCACTTCCTAATGGGCTGATACCTCTCTTTCCAACACAGCTTCGGAATGGGGCCGCGTCTCAGTCATTGGATAGCTTATCAGAAGATCAAATAAAACTAATTGAGAGCGGTACTCGGGAAGGCCTCCAAGAACAATTACGTATTCTCCAGACAGTCAATTCTCAAATTGTTGATCTTATTGGAATATTAACGCAGACAATCAGTGTTATGCCCAATATATCGTCAAGTGGTGGGAATGATAGCACCAATATACAAACACGGTCTCCATTTGAATTTGATAACGTAAGGCGTAACGGAGCAACTGAAGAATACAACATTGACAGGAAGGGCAAAGGCAAAGAAGTTGCTGAGGGAGAACGCGGCAGCAACCCCTCTACGGGCGGTTCCGAATAAAGACGAGGTGGAACTGAGTCGCGTAATTGATTATAAAGTTGTGAGCAATAGATATGATGAACATTCCTATAATTTATCGTGTGACGAGTAGTAACAATGAAATAGAAATTCTTGGAAAAAAAACAATTCCGCTCGAAAATTAATAAGTCTGCAGTATACTCAGTCATGATAATCAAATCTCCCCAAGAGAGATTTGTCAATGCTGCGAGACGAAGACACGATATCTGTGTGTAATCGATATGTTATGGGTTAGAGCGTCTTCCTACAATCCAAGTCAGATTTTTAATATCTATAGCAGTTATATTGACATCGGAAGGTTTCTCCATTGATGCCCATCTCTTTTACTATATTGTTTCATACATCGTATGTTCTGTCTGCGGTGGCGGCGCACATAGATAATTAATAAAACACATAGAATATCTCCTACAGTTTGCCTGTGCCAAACAATTCGCATCATGCGACGACAATAATGCTATTCTTCTAAATATTTTCCTTACCTGTTAATAAATATAAGCTACTGACCACATCATCGCGAAGATATGACAAAAAAAGTAGACACACGACTTTATGCAATTCGCTGGTTCAAAAGTTATCTGTGACTCTTCCTTCATATAAGATAACGAACAGAAGAAGTGAGTTTTGCATCAATAATAATTATGACATTGTTCGCCATTTCGAGCTTGTGTCATAAGCACACTAATAATAGTAAAAAATATTACGTGGAAAATTTTTATTAATTTTTAATAGTTAAGTATGCAATAATATGACTGAGCATTAGAACACGGATAGTTATTCATGATGACAGCATGGATAAAGATGTTACTCTCAGTTTGACATACAAAGTCTAAGACCGAGCTTCGCTGTTAAAACATCGTTTCAGCTACCGAACGCTTTTATTCTTGGTGCAGATTAAACATTATTTCGCACAGTTGATATGAACGGACCGTCCTTGGCATATATGTTTGGCACACTTGTGTATGCCAAGTCTTATTTGTGTTTTGGACGCCGTTAAACTTCATCGTTACGCGTCAAAGCTATCTATATCATGAAAAGAGGCAATCGATTTTCGAGGGATATAAGTGGATTGATGGCTCAATCACTCGCGTAATACCATCGATAGGAACTAAGGTTTTAGTTCTTACAGGAGTTTCAGAAATATTAAGATTTCAGGCAGGTGTGGGATCTGCTTTTATCGTATCTCCAGGATTCTAGTCATGAAGTGGTTATTGCATCTATCAAGGCCTTAAATAATATATCCAATGTCCAAATAAAGAATTGGTTTGGGTATTGAAAACAATATTCAGGATGCTGAAATTGACAATGGAGCTTCACCGTCCAGTGAACCGAGCTCGAATGTAGCTACGCATTCTATTCAGAAACGATTAGCATCAGACTCATTTCCAGTTTCATAAACTTTAGATATTTAGTTCTCAATATTTTTTAACTCATGGAAGCATGTCGTATTTAATTAATTTAATGAAAGAGTATATAAAACTCGTGTAAACTGCGAATTACAAGTGTTTGAGTCGCTAAATCATCAGCAGTGGACAATGTTAATATTGTAAATTGACTTCGTTTATGTGAACAGGACCAATTGTTGTCTTCGTAACCGCCACCAAATCCAAATTACTCCTCGTCAACCTTCCCTAACTCTGCCTCTAACCTTGGCAAGCTGAAATCTGATAAGGAAGGTAGCTGATGAAAATCGTAGCTGTTTCTTGGTTTAGGCAAATCTCTAGTAGGTAAAAGTGTACTAGAATATTTGCTCTCCTTCTCGAGACGTGACAAAGGTCTTACATTATTATGATAAATGGTATACCATATGTTGTCATCAGAATCAATAAGCTTCCAAATATCACCCCAAAGTGAATCTGCATCTGGACGCTTGTCTGGATCAGCATCACAACACCGCTCGGCAAGTTTCACGTATTCTTCTGGTGCAGAATCAGGCATTGATGGTCGTAGTCCGCCCATAATGTTGCATACTAAAACTCTATCTCGAACTGCCTATCTCTAAAAGGTGGTTCCCCAGAGGCAATCAAATACGTAATAATACCAAATGCATATATGTCTGATTTCTGAGTAAATTTGCCAATATGAAAGACTTCCGGTGCAATAAAGGGTAAAACGCCTCGAATGGTTGACTCACGCGAATTCACCGATCGTGAGAGACCGAGATCGCATATGTATGGCGAGCTCACTTGAAAATCTTTTTTTGTAACGTCACCGTCCAGAACAATGTTTCCGGCATGAAGATCACAATGTACAAATCCTGCACTATGGATAGTCCACAGATCATTCGCGATATAACGTAAACACTGTAATTTATCCATCCACGTCAAATTGTTAATATTTTGATCCAAATAAGACAAAAGATTACCGTTGTTAGCATATTGCATAGCCATCATGTACACCCACTTACCAAAAGTATTGGTGATTTTCGTCGATCAATTAGTAAAACATATGAAAATTTCTTTTTTTCGGAC